CCTCTGCAATACACATGGGACCCCCTGCCACAAAACCCGTCCCAGGCACAGTACCTTGGGTCCCGGTGCACCGGGGAGGCCGAGGTCACCCACATCACCCTGGGGAGGAGGAGGAAGGAGAAGAGGGTGTGAAGAAGCTGCCTTGCTCCAGGAGCAGGTTGGTGTTCTCCAGTCCAGGGATGAAGGGAGTTGGGACCTCCCAGAGATGTGCCAGGGGACTGAGCGTCAGCTGCAGTGGCCCCCCCTGGGGTGCCAGCCACCTCACGGGGGAGCCATGATGTGCTCCCAGGGGACATGGGTCAGGGGACACTCACCCGCTCTCCTTTGGGCCCTGGCTGCCCAGCTGCCCCGTCTCTTCCAGGAGGACCCTGAGGACCCTGCAAGATGCCCAGGAGCTGGCTCCAGCACAGGGAAACCCTGTGGGGCTGGTGGGCATGGAGCCCCCCACCACCACGGGAAGCAGTTATGGCCCCACTGCCATGGGGTGGCCCTGGGATGGGTCCCCTTGGCCACCCCATACACCTACCGCTGGCCCTGGGGGCCCAGGGGTCCCATCCCTGCCTGGCAGCCCTGGCGGTCCTGGCAAGTCCGTGTGGTTCATCCCAAACCGTCCTGGCTCCCCTGGCAAACCAGGCACACCAGGTGGCCCTGGGGGACCGGGTGGCCCTCGTGGACCCTACAAGAGGAGGAGGGGATGATGGCTGAGCATGTCCCCCCACTCCCTGCCAGCAGGAGGGGACCTGCACTCACCCGCAGGCTCTCCAGGTCACTGCTGAAGCCAGAGCCCTCCATGTCGATGAAGGTCTGGGGGAGAAGCAGAAGGGTGATGTCAGGCACCAATAGCCAGGGCTGGGGTGCTCGGCAGTGCAGGGATGCTGCCTGGAGGCTGGCGGTAGCATCCTGCTCTTCCACAGCCCCCCCGAAACCTGTGTCCCAGGGTGCACCCACCAGCTTGTCATGCCTGGAAGAGGGTCCTGGTGGTCCCGGGGGACCAGGTGGTCCAGGGGATCCCCTTGGCCCCATGCCTGGGTCACCCTGGCACAGAGGAGAGAGCATGGTTTGCGAGTGTAGCCCAGCCACCAGTGAGAGAAAGTGGGGGCAGCAGCCTGTGCTGTCCCCCCACACTGGCACCAGCACTCACCTTCTCCCCCTTCAGACCGGGCTCCCCCGGCATCCCAGGGAACCCCTGCGGTCCCATATCGCCCTGCGAAGGAGAGCATTGGCGGGGTCAGTGGGTGGTGAGGCAAGGGGGGTGGCTGGCACCCATTGCCCCCCACACCCCCGACCCCACTTACAGGTTTGCCATCCTCGCCAGGATCACCCTACGGATGGCAGAGAGGGGAGAGGTCAGTTCAGACCGGGCTCCCCCGGCATCCCAGGGAACCCCTGCGGTCCCATATCGCCCTGCGAAGGAGAGCATTGGCGGGGTCAGTGGGTGGTGAGGCAAGGGGGGTGGCTGGCACCCATTGCCCCCCACACCCCCGACCCCACTTACAGGTTTGCCATCCTCGCCAGGATCACCCTACGGATGGCAGAGAGGGGAGAGGTCAGTGTGCAGGCAGGAAGGCAGGCAAGCAGGCAGGCGTTGGGAGA